ATATATAAGAACTAGGTGATTGGTTTCAACAAGGGAACCCAAAAATGTAATGACGTAGTTTTCCCCCTTTGGAAGGTAAAAAGTGTGATGAACTGCTAAATACCAGCCCGCCTTTATCTTTCCGAAATGATCAGATAATCCGACAACGGTCTGTCGAATACATTAGTGTTATTTTCACTCGTACTCTCACCTGGTCTGACCACGTCAATGACGACTTTCAGAAGGTCAGGAGGAGTCCGTTTTACATTTGCCGTCCTAAATCACTTTGTATCTCAAAGCATCTAATAAGGCGTTTTGCTTTGGCTTGCGTTCCGCCCCACTGGCTTCATGCGTTCCCTGTTATCTTCCCGGTCTTTTTAACAAAGACCAAAAGCTTATTTCCCGATCCCTCAAACTTTTATCGATATTTGGTCTTATACCACGAGAACTTTTGGTACAACATCCACCTGTTCCAGTTTCAAAGTTATAAAGGCACTCACTGAGGCATACAGGCTATCTATTGTCCCGTAACTTGCTAGATTTTTCGTAGACCATGAACTCGTTACAGAAAATCTGCCCAAAATGTTACTTAATCTAAACCAATGATAAACGCTGTGGTATGCCATTGATTATCTGATGTTGCTGTCCGTTTGACTGTTTCTATTTGCTCTAAGCTATTTCTCTTTTTTCCATTATTGACAGATCGTGGTTGTGATTGCCGAATATCCATCCCTCGGGGTGTTTGAATCGATTCCTTGAATTGAATTGACTTGAAATACACGTTCAACTGGTTTAAAGAAAGTAGACAAATCTACCGGATGAGTCGCATGTCACACATTTGCTTTTTTGAGTTTTTGGTTCAGTCCCGAATGGAATCGTTGCATGAGCACCGCAGGGGATATCTAGAGCTAATATAATTCTTCAACGGCACAGCTCATACAAACTGTCCCTGCGTGTACTTGGGATACAGGTGTATTTTTTGTTCTGTTGATGTTATAATAACAGAGAAACCATCCCACAGGTTTGACAAAATTCGTTAAAAAGAATCTTCCTGAATATCAAGATCTATCCATTTAGTGCAGCCAAGTTTTAAGTTCTTTCAAATGTCTTTAGTGTCTTTCAGCATATATTATGTTGATTGTTTAAACTTCCATCAATAACGAATTCATGAAGTTCCTTAAACATATCACATCAAAATTACCCAATAAGAGAGCCTGTAAACTGCATATAATTTCGGTAACCCTGGGAAAATTCATTGATTACAGTTATAATTTCAATCCCTAAAATTGTTATTTCCCATTGACTGTTTTTATACCTCCTTCGTGTTTTCAGGTAAGTCCTCGGTGTTAAACTATTGTACCTGGTTAGGATCTCTATTCCGAATTGTTCGACGACCTATTGCAATAAATTTGTCGATGGTGTAAATTTCGACTTTGTCAATCTGCAGCACATTCAATTGATCTGCCTCTGTGTTGCCTTAAACCCTCTCTTCAACATTATTTTCCGTTTATTATGTATTTCAACCACTGTTTACAGAAAAGCCGTATTCTCCCTATTCGAATGAAACCTTATTAAGAGGTGTGAAGTTACACGATAGAGTCAATGCACTTATAGTAGTTTAAACTATTATTCAGTGACCTTTAACATATTTTTTATTTTCCAATCGTTTTTATTCGTTTGACTCAGAAACGTGGTGTGTCCTGTGAGTGACACAAACTTTTTCCTAACATTCTTTGTCATAGGATCGCGTACCAAGCGCAGATTGGGCGTAAGAGTGGTTATTTAATACTGGATTACCAGGACAGAAAACTCTTTAAATGAATTGTTCAAAGAATCATTCTTATGAAAATTCACAATGATAAAAGTTGTCTTCAAAAATGATGATCCACCTTAAATCTAATTTTATTACCACTCGTATGAGAGAATTCAAACTTTTACTCAGATGTAGTCATTTCTTGATTGCTTTATATACTCAGAAAATTTGCATAATCATTGGGAAATATTTTCATCATAAAACCTGTGAGCATGAAAACGGAAGATTCATAGATGTTTATGATGATAACTTACGTGAGTACTCACAAAATGGCTTCGGTTAAATAAGGAATTCACAAGGGAATGATTAAACATGTGCATTATCAATAATAACAGCAACAACAATGACGTATTTATTAACTAAATCGAGAAATGCTGATGGAATTTGATTTCTTTACGAACATTTTTACTAAAAAATGTTTCAATTGTCACGTCGAAATCATAAACTACATACATTTAATGTTATCTAGCGTATAATGTTTGCACTGGAGGAAACGCTCTGCCCAGTTTTCAGAGGTAGTTCAATTACATTGACTCACGCTTAAAAGAAAATATTATATGGCTGGTTTGATAGATTCAACCGGAAAATTAAGTCTCACAAGCTTAACGTGACAGTGAGAACCACAGAGCGGTGGGGGACTTACAGAGTCATTCCATATTTCATTTAAATCACCAAGAACTTAAATTGGAGCACAGTAAATACAGAATGGAACTTAATTAATGGAAGAAACAAACCAAAGGGACTATAGGTCTAGAAGCATAACTCAGCATCAACAACCAGTGGCTCCACTTGGAAATAATGCACTTCTTGCAACGTGTTTTTTTCACAGATGCCGAATAAGCATTGTCAACAGACTCAATCATTAAAAACGATGTCTATGATTCTTACGCAAACTTTACTCTAGAGCCTAGTGGTTTGCAAAATCAATACTTTGTTTATTGGTTTAGATTTTTACAAATGAGAATCTACAACTCCGGTTTTGAGCATCACCCCTCGATCACTTTCAAATCCAGCCGAATTTGTATACAACGTTCTCACTTAATTTTCCTCAAGAATACGATAAATCCCCGCCCTCCGTGGATACAGTCATTCTGTAATAAAGCAGATCAAGTCACAAAATCTTTCGTTTCCTCCCGTGTTATTACGAATTTCAGATGGCAATCGGTTGTATGTTGCCCACGCAGCTATTTCAACTCAGGTCACCCCGAAATCATCGCAGATGTCCAGAGAACAACAAGTGTATAATCGAATTCGAAAAGGATGTGAAGCAGCTGTTCGCCCACTCGTCAATCCGGATGATACACTGGTCGTTCAGGTTAAAGTAAAACTACAGCAACTTGTGGGACTGGATGAAAGGACCCAGGTGCTCACAACTTTGGTATTTATTGAACAAGTAAGTAATACCCAGAGGAATCCCACGAGGCAGGGGGTACGGCTGCATGTGGGGTTGTAGAAAAATAATGGTGAATGACGGAGTCCAAACAGCCTTTTCTGATTTAACTTAAGTACATTAAACTGAAAAAGTCAACAATCAGACCTTTCATGTTCTTCCATAATGTTATTGTTTGAACCATCACGGATGTAAAACCAATTTGATAGTAAGAAACATGTTGGAATGGTGACCGTGTTTTAGAGTCAAGTTGAACTTTTGTTCAATAAATCGAGAACACTGTTTAATGAAAGTGAAAATGGAGTAGGTTAAGCCTTTCTATTAGGTTTGGTTAATAAGATGTTCCGGAGAGAATCAGACTAACGGACCTTTATGCATTAATTTTATGAATAGTACATTGCTTGTTAATTCACACTGAACCTTTTTCACAACCGTGCAGTGCTCAGTATTTTTTACATGGTTTCTCAGGTCGAGTAGTGATAGCATCCAATTTATCAACACTTCGGCCCACAGCCAAAGCGCAATATTTTGGTAGACCGTTAAGTACGCACCCGGAGTAACGTAAAATATCACCCTCAGTGAGGCATCAGCGGTGCTTCCGATAAAACTACATACCTATCCCAAGACAACAACCTGTCCCTGAGTAATTTGCTCCAACAGGACCGGTCTCGTTCCAGTGGCAATGCGAAGATGGAAGTCAAACATGATCTTGCCATGTGCAACCGCTTTTCATCACCGGAGTGGAGCAGCAGGATAGATATCACGAGCGGATAGCTCAGCCCATAAGATCAATAGCCAAGTGTTTGGAAGTTTTATTTACCTAAATTTGCGGTAGCAATGAACGCGAGCAAAACGTATATGTACCGTAACCAGTACTCCGTTCACTGTAAAAAGAACTTCTGCGGTTTCTTCCTCCAAAAAAGCCGTAAAGCTGTACCTTTAAACGAGTAGGAAAATACACAAGATTAACCAAAGGTAATCCTGTTAAGAGAGGAATATCAAAAGGATTAAAATACATTAGAACCGGTTTAAGTTTGTCATGAATTATACCGAGAAAGAGTTAACAAACATTCTCTTGTCGGACGCGAACGCGTTAAAGGCAATATTAACTAGCAGGATATGGTAAAGTCCATATTGGAAGAGAATGCTATTTGTTTAACTTGTAATAGAATAAAAAAGGTGACCATTGTTACACCACACGATTGACAAATATAACCCCTCCCCACATCATATATGAAAGTTCACATTTGAATGACCTCAAAAAATTTCAAATCTATCATCCAGCTAAAACCATCCTCAGAGTCAGGATATAAGCAAAATTAGTCCAATAGAATCATTTGCAGATCACTAAGTTTTAGCTTTTTGTCATGAAAAATCGTTACTCAGTAAACAAATCGATCTGTACCTTTTACAAAAAACGTAATGGGAGAACGACAATGAGTTTGTGGTTTTCTACCTTGGTCGACAAAGAGAGAGAAGCATATAGCTTGAGCTAGACAGCCAATGTACCGAAACAAAATTTGAGCGAGTCAAATGTGCAGTTAGCGTGGCTCTGACGAACCGTTTTTGGCACAGTTGAAAGCAGGAGAGGACAGGGGCGACAATAGTTTATGGGATGCAGAAAAACGGGAGGATCCCACGTTATGTCAGCCTTTGGATCTGTCTTTCGGTTGAAAAATGTACAGATGTTGTTTGTGTGTTTGCGCCTGACAGAATAATGTAAATAACTTAACTACATAGGTGAGAAAAATGCAATTTTATTCAATAATACTAATGCCACCACTTTTAATGTTGCGAGTCAGAGCTTGCGCTGCACAACTCACTTTTCAGGGCAGTGAGTTCTTCTATGAGACAGAGACAAAGTTCTTTTAATGATCATTTCGATCAGAAAAATGAACATCCGGAGAACACATTTATGCATTTAAGTGTCTGTACAACAATCTTTTCTCTTATAGAAATTCTATTAAATAAAATGAGTCTCTTTGCCCAGATTTAAGCTGGGAAATGTTTTACTCTGGATATGTAGCCTGCACTTGTCTGCCCTAGCCACCACAAGTTTTTTAAACTGTCTACACTAATTAACCTAAAATACACACAGCGTTTCTAGAACACTACCAAAAGAATGATGTTTTTGGTAGTTCGTTAAATTCACACAAAATTATCAGTAAAACGATTGCGAGGGAAAAGAATGGTGCAGGTAAAATTAAAATAATCTAGAGCCAACGGCTGAAAACAAGCTGTGCCCGGTTCCTCAAAAAAAACAGAATTGCAATACCAATAGACAGGGTTGTCATGCACACAATGGGCACCGTCTAAATCCTTGAAAAAGTCCCTTTAAATGGATACATAAGAAAGAATTGAATGTGAGAAGGAATGAATCCAAGACAACTGATAATTACAGCCTTTAGTGATTTCTTATTTATTATTGGGAATCTCAATTACTAAGATGTAGGAGAGGGAGCGAAAGTTACGATCGAAGGGAATAACAACCTATTGGATGAAATTCATCACGAGTGTGACGAGACAATAAACTAAATTAGGCCATAATGCGAGGAAGGGATTAAAAAAATCAGTGATAAGTAAACCTAATTAGCCTATTCCCAGCCTACGTTTTCGGAAACCGGGATAATTGTGAACATAAGATCGAAAACATTGTGAGGAAAAAGGACTGAACACGAAAGACGAGGCGGAGAACCGTTTGAGGGTGAAAGTAATTTTAACTGGACAGCAGCAATTCGCTCCAACAGGTCTTGTTCATTTTTGGCCGTTGAAGCAAACCGCCAGTCGTGGTGGTGGCCAAGTGGTTAGGTCACCAAATTGTGACCGACGAGTCCCGGGATCGAAACTCTTCACCGCCGTCCGTCTTCTTTGATTCTGTATCTGCTAGGCAGCCTTTGTATGGCCACAGCTCCCGTCCTGAAAGTTGACTGTATATTTGTATATTCAATTAATAAAAAAGGAAGCAAAATGAAATGAAATGAAATTTTGCAAACTACTCACAAGTGATTAGTATCCCGCAACACTAGCTCTTGTCGGGATACCATTGTTTACACAAAGAATACTCGGCTTCACAAATATGATTTCATAAATATGGAAATATAGTGATAAATTCAGTAACGCACCAATGTTAGCCTATAGTTTATGAAATCTATTTCTGACGGTTGCTCAAACAGACCATGCTATTATTCACACGAGGTCCATGGATGGAACGGACCTCACTGAACCATGTTATGCGGATAACAATGAGAAACAACCGCTGGGATATTGCTTTTAACAAGATTTAGTAATATTACTGTCAATAACACTTTGAGAACTTAATCCTCAATCAAATGAAAAGGAAGGGAGCTCCAAGGCTAGATGACTTTCAGTGATATTCGATTCCTCGTTGACGGATTTACACAAGTGCATTCAGTGGGATAATATATTCTCAGCTTCACGATCTGTGAGCAGTCATCAAACGAACCGTCAAAGGGTTAAGCTTGTTCTAGCTACGTGCTAGACTTAATTTGAGTTCATGAACTGAGATTCCGTTAAAGTCATGTGAAGGATAAATTGCTAAACTTTCCACCTTGCAAATGGCAAGCTGATTTGGAGAAATCTCAATCTGCGACAAATGATTACAAGTGTGGACCGCTTTTGAACGAATAGAGAAGATCAATTTGCTTAAAAATATGCGTGGTATGCGCTTAAAACTGTTGTTGAATCAACAATTGTCTTTCATTCAAGAAAAAACAAAAGAGCAATACAAATTACATTTCAATATTCCTTGATGTGTTCCCAGGACAATCCACGATAAAATGATTAGGGCAAAACAGAATATCCTATTCCTTTTGCATGTGTGAACACAACCACAATCCAGGAAATTCAATTTGCACGGCAGACTCAAATTTTGGAAACATTAAACCACATATTCGTATTGCCAACGAAAGTTGTTTCATAATTGCACGACATAACATCAAAGGAAAATCGCGGAGCTTTACAACTAAATTTATGAGGTAGAAAACTCAAAAGTGTGTGAGAGATAGAGAAAGTAAGCACTTTGAAATTGATCAATTCGGGATACGAAAACCGGGTAGCTTATCCATAATTCATGTTGTAGTAACGAATTGAAAGCCAAAATTCCAATTAGCTGAGCAACTTATACGTCTGTTTGCGTGGTATTTAAGAGAAAAATTCTCGTTGTTCAACGGTGGCTGTGATTAGAAAACGTACAGAAGTTAGAACAGGGTACGTGAGTGGAACTGAAACATAAAACCTCGACTTTACAGTATGACTCGAATTAGAAAATAATTTCTTCAAAACACAAGACAAGAAAACGATTTTTATGTTATCTTGTTTGTAGAAAAATTATCATCAACCTCACATAACCACTTTGAATCACTGCTGAAGATAGTTGTTTCCATAAAAGTGAATGTGTATATCGGAGATTATCGAAAAAGAAGTTCAACGAACAGGAGGTGTAACTTGCAAATAGCATAAAAATCCTTTGTGTTTTGCTGCTAAGTTGCATTAATTCGACTGTTTTCATGGGTAAACCTAATCGTAATTTAATCTAGATCAGATACTATGCAGAATGTGTTTCGTCCCCTCTTACAGGTCGCACTGTTCGTAGTGCTAAGAATAAAATGAACTTGACAGAAACAATGTATTGAGTTCAGCAATGTTTGTAGCGATTTTTGGTTGACAGATTGAAGTTTTTATGTCGAGATTGTGAAAAGTTCAGTTTGGCGGGATTCGAACCCACGCAGTGACGCCGCCTACGGTTTTACACAATGCACAGTCTACCAGCTAAGCTACGGGGCCACACTGACAGCACTGATTGTTTCACATTCGAATTACCCATCCAACTTACAGAGGTATATAACATCCACCATTTACCAGGTAAGCTGATCGTCCCAATAGGTTTTCCTTAAATTCACCGGAGTCCACCGAGGCAAGGTTAATTGTTCAAATTGTTGTTTCGTAAATTGAAGTTTTTATTTCGAGATTGTGAAAATGTTTGTAAAAGCAAATAATAAAAAGAAAGTGATTAAACAATATATTACTTCCGTTTCCATAAAACGCACACAAGCACGCTAGTACGCTGATGATAAACTAATCGTCAGAGGAAATACGCTGATTACATCCAGTTATGCTGCCTCATGCCGTGAATATGTCGATGTCTGTTTCACATCCAATTTTTTGTCAATAACCGTTGATGCCCCAGATCATGTATAAGATTGGTGCTCCGTAATTGACAAATAAAGTCAAAACATAGATTACATTGCGATCTCCTAAATAAACTGAGCATACAACACTTATATTTAAACAAGAAGTAATTTACCCTTGAACGCGTGCATGAATAATGCAACTGACCGTAGCGTTTGAGTAAGGGATATCCTTAAAACCATCGGTTGACATGTGTTCCTCTCGCGTATTTGTTTCTACACTTTCTGACCTGTTCGCGTCAGTCATGGCAAGACGATCAACTGCGATGGAACGAGACGGAATACCGCGAAGTGCGCACAGTTCGGGTTCCGGCAAATTATGTTTGGACACCGGACACTTATGTTTTTAATAAGTAAGCAGTTCTGTTTGCTTCGTGTACAACGGTGGTTACGCAATCGAATAGAAATATATCTGAATATAAGTGTTACTCATAAAAGTGTTTATGCTGTCGTTTTGATTTTTACAATTAAATGTGATTATAATGATTTGACAACCAAATGACCGACAAGTTACATGTACCTTAAATTTTTGTTTTGATTACAGCAGCAAGCCCACTCGGTGATTCAGAATTTTACGTCAATCAACTAAAAAGATCTTGTCTATTTGTTCAGAACCAGTTTGATTTTACTAGTGGAAGACTTGGAAATTTGAGAACGAAATCGATTATAGAAGTTTTGTACAAGGGAATTATAGTTTATAATAGAATTGTGTCACATATAAAGTAAAAAAATTCGTAGTCCTAGTGATGCAGTGTATGAACTCGTACCATCAGCCATCATTCGGAAAGCTCTCTGTTACTTCATGCAAACCCATCTTGTAGTTAATATGCCAGTCAGTTCATCTAATCATCAACGTCAAAAAGCATTTGAAAACTCAAGAAGGCAATGCATCACGCTTCACTTAATGCACCATTTGTTCAAGTCAAGTGAAGTCATCATCTCCTCAACTCATCATTTCATCTGTCCAACCAGTCCCTTCATTTGATCACTTGTTACTTTGAGCTTTATCATCATCAATCTTATTGGATGAAGTTTCAAGGTTTTAAGCACTATCCCAAAACTGCGGGTGGATTGATCACTGACCAAGACCAACTCAAAGCATTGATTCATCACAGTGAACTCATACATTTTGTCTTGAGCAGGGATAGAAAATACGTGTAATGTTGTTTTATATCAGAATTAGTGAGATAATGGTTTGCGTGTACAATAAATTCTTAGGCACAAAAAGCGGGCAGGGGATGTTTAGGGCTCGCAAAACCTGGTTAAAAGATGTACTTCGTGAAAAAAGCTGACAAATGTGAACATTCACTTTCATGTTCTCTTCTGGGACGGATGTTTGTTTTTCATCTGTACAGTTTTCATCCTTTAGCGGTGCTTCACCTTTCTTTAATTCTTAATAACAATATAATGCTTTGTGTAATTAAATATTTATAATATTATATAAAGATTACCCCATAGCTCGATACAAACTATCCCTATCAATTTTTTTGAAACTAGGTTTCGTATTCTTAGGTTTACAGGTGTTGATAAAACTCGTGCAACATCTCTCTGATTTTTAAAATACATTTCATTTTACGTGCCTGTATATTGATGGCTGTGGATAAGGTGTATTCATTCCATACTTTATCTCCCAGTTCTATGGAAAAGGGCAAAAAGAACATGAACCAGATGAAAGTATGATGTCTGTATCAAGTCTATGAGCCATTTGGATACATAAATTCTAGTTATGTTTTTACTGTTGCTTTGTTATCCTACAACTGATGTACAAGTAATCGTCGTCGAAATAAAGAAATCGTACATTTTGTTGGTCTCGGGTAAGAGAAGCACAGACGTAAGTGGATATTCTAACAGATATGTTGCGTCTGACGTGCGGCAATGTCATATTCAATCCCGTGAATGAGGCTGGGAGCACTAAGTGTTGGGAAGAACAAATGTGATGAAAATCAGCGTGTTGCACGAGTTTGGTCAACTCCTATATTCCGTAATATGTCAGCAATAATATAGTTTACATAAACACTTTCACTGTGTTATCAAAACACCAAATGAATTCTCGCAGATTCGAGCATTGGCGTTTGATATCTCATAGTGGGTTAGCATTTCCATAGAAATTACCGACTAGAAGAAAATATGCGAGAGAATCTTTCAAACATTTTCAGTTCGTGCTCCCTTGTACTCACTCAAGACATAACTATTGCCCACGTGAGAATCACATGAAGGATGAACAGCTAATTTGGACTGCTTGATCATTGTAACTGTTTTACTGCACCACATTCAGTCATGAGCAGTGAACCTCATGGGGCATTCGTCGGACCTCTAGTGATGGGAGAGATTGTGATCTATTTTGGTCTGAATTTGGTGCCGGAAAGACTATCAGACTCAAACAAGGAGAGAGAATCACAATCGCATACAAATCTAAATTCCATTTGTGTCGATATAATCATCAAAAAGGGATTATGAGAATATAACAACAGGTTAAGTCTGGTAATAACTTCAGTAGACAACTCTCTTGCAAGTCAGTGGTTCCAATGGAGTGACCATCTTTATTCAACATGTGTACTCAGACCGAATACAGATAGATGAATGTCTAAACGAACTGCTATCTTCATTCTATAGACAGGTTCTGAATTGATACAGGCTGAGAACCACAGTGTTGAGAAAGATCAATCACCATGTGTGTAAGTTAGTGTTAAGAACAAAAAAGTAAGCAATCCATAAGGTAAAGTCAAGTACTCGAAACCCTCCTTCCCAATTGTTTGTCACCGAGGGAAAGGTGTAACTGAAGGTGCACTGATTTCTTTAGGGAGCAATTTTGAATAAAAAAGATCAGACGTCAAAATTCACTTATGTTAGTGTTTGTTAATGCCTGAAACATCAAGTAAAATACCAAGAAAACCAGAAAACCAGAAGCGCAGACTTCGACTCACTGCGGTGATGTTCTTTGGAGTATAGGATAGCAGATCTCGGTGACTTGTCGTCGTCCCAAATTGTGAACAGTTGAATGAATCTCTAGGTTCGTCAACCTTAGCGATTTAAAACAACGCCAATATATATGAACATATCAGCCGGTTCACCTCGTGCTGAATCAACGAGAGAAAAAAACATGAATTCTTCAAATTACCTCTTCAAGAATGCCTGGTACCTCTGAACAATCGAATGGGTTAGTCCAAGCTTGCTACTCTAAAAGTACTTCAAGAAGATGCATTATAACGGTTTGAAATCAGTTCGTAATGATAGTTTGGTGGGGGACTCAATTTTCAATCAATGGTCTTCCCAAATTACTATTATTCGTCAACAAATATTTGGAAATCGATAACCAAATTCACCATTGGGGATCTAAACCCATTAATTTTGTTTACCTGATGACAGTCAGTGAAATGAAAGTTTGGACCAATTTTTCCGGTAAATTTTCAATTGAAAATTCAATAATGTATAATATGAAATTAAGTGAGCAGAGATTTATATGAAAAAAGGACAGTTACGTCAAGTCCATTCTACCAAATTTCGCTAATCTTTTACCAAAAGAGTGTCATTTTTTAACCGTGAAAGGAGTTCTGAAGATCATAGTACTTCATAATCATTTATTTATGTTTATTTGCGTATAGCCTCATTCATGTTTTGATAAATTACCAGAAAATCGTACAAGTTTTGCTACACATTTGTGTTTTCAGTGCTGATACCTCCAGTTCCGGTTTCCTCAAAGGCCTGCATGTGCTAGTCCATAATTCAGGAAAAGTGATTTGGCAAGTCCCAATGCAAATGAAGACGTCCTGTCAGGTGGATATTGTCATGTTTCCGTTTGACGAACAAGTATGCGATATCCAAATGGGATCATGGATCTACATGCCAGATTGGGTGACATATCGGTTTCACGGCAGCCTATCCAGAGGCGCCCAGATTCAGTCTTCGTATCCAGAAAAAATCATTGCTTTATCCGCATGTCACGATACAAAGAACAGTCACGAAGCGTTGGATATCTCTTCGTTTTGGGAGAGTAGTGAGTGGATGTTACTTGGGGTGGAACTACTTCATTCGAGTCGTTCAACCACACAACTAATTGCTTGGAAAATGGGATTTGGTCAGAGACCAGAAAACGTGGTTCAACCGAAGTCTTTCAATCAAACCACACAAAGCGATTTAGTGCTCCGTTTACACTTGAAACGTCGCAGTTTCTTCTATTTGTGGAATATAGTTATCCCCTGTGTGATGCTCACACTGCTTACTATCACGGTATTTTGCACTCCGGTTCAATCGGGAGAGAAAATCACATTGGGCCTATCGGTTTTTCTCGCCTTTTCCATGTTTATGGTACTCATTGCAGAAAAGGTGCCCCCAACATCAACAGGGATTCCGCTGATAGGTAAGTGAATTTAAAGATACAGTTCCTGCCTATAAAATCTCTTATACAATTAGCTAGAGGTGATTCATATATAGAATGACCATGTATACGTGTGTTACAAGAATCGGCACAACATGAATGTTTCCTCATTTAAGGTATTAAGCTTCCAAGTCGCCCCATCTTTTACGAAAACCTGATTGGACACATGGAATCGTTAGAGATAACTTTGAATTGTTTAAAGGTTTCCTCGTATCTTCTTTGTCACATAATACCGTACAGTCGTTGGTGTTACCAAGGAGTATTCGGGTGGAAAAAGTAATTCGGTGTTTGTAATTCGTCGTACAAGCTTCAGCAATAGTCGTGATCCTGTTCTTGGCCATATCAATGCTCGAATCGGTTCTGTCCACAGAAACCGGAAACGGGGAGTGCGTTTCTACAATGTGTAAAGGTCACCGGCAGCATTATTTAATTGGCCCCTAACTTTTGAACGTCACGGGACTGGAGCAATGGAAACCGTTGACGTTGTTTGATAACATGTGCAACTGTATAACCCAACGAAATACACAGAATGAAGCCAGAAGTTTTATAATGCCTGGAAGATCAACCGGTTGAGGTTAAACAAAGCTCGGTCTCCTGGTCCCCCAAGTTGGGGGTTCGACTCGAGTTAGCATCTCACTCAGTAAAATGGTAGAGGAGTAATCAATCCAAGTAAATGGGCCCCTACTTCGCTTCACCCGCTGCATTGCGGTCAGATCCTTGTTAAAACTAAAAGCTTTGGGAGGGAACCTTAGTCGTCCTCTTGATTAGCGGCTGGACACCTTAGCAGTATCCATCCATCAAACTCTAATGTATACACCTACTATAAATGGTCCCACATCGCATCGGTCGTCGCATAGGATAATCACGACCGCGCTGCCTATTGCATGGAGCCTGGTGGGTGGGGATAAGTGGGCTACTGCTCATGCATCCCAACCTTCGTTTTACTATTTCCCCTCTGCAACCAACCCTACCCCTTGATCCATTCTTCCGATCAGCAACATTCCCTTAGACAGCTTGTTCATCACTGACTAAAGTTCATTGCCTAGTAGCGCTGTAAGTAGCTTACCACGAAATAAATTGCATATTCTGAAGCTCCGTCAACCTCGCAATCTGATTGCCTTCAACGTAAGGACTATGATGCAGGTGGGTCAACAATCTTGCCTGACGTGTACAATGGCTTCTTTGGGAATTAATGTCTGATGCGTATAGGAGAAGCGAACTCAGGATCCTAGTACTATAAGTGCGCTGGAGTTTTCTTCCTCCGCATGTCAGGTAACGACAAGGCCCGTTCAGTAGGCCAGCATGGCGTGGGCACTGTACTTACTAATACACCGAAGCTGCACTACTGGGATGGATCTCCGTCAACCATCGCTTATGTGCGATGCGGCTCCAAGGGTTAATCGGTGTGCCAGAGGGAAGCAACACCAAAATGTGTTTTGTTCATCATTTCAGCGCATGCACCAACCAACTGTTGTTCTAACAATAAAAGACGAGTTTCATGATAAACTCACTGAACTCAATCGCTTGAGCAGAAGCTCCTATATAGTTGTGCTCGCAGGTGATTCTAACGCTGAAGTGGATAACTGAGAGCATCGGAAGTTTGCCTAGAAGTTCGTTGAACTCCGTCCTGCCAGAAACAAATAATAGCGATCGACTTCTTCAGTTCTGCGCAGATCAACATGTTTCCATCCAGTACAAAATCCGACATAGCTCTCAACGTATGGCAACTTGTCGCTCCATTTTAACTGGTACACGAACTCAAGTCGACTACACATAGCAGTAAGCTATCAATGGCGTGACTCAGTGCAAAATTGTAGGTCCCATTGGATCACCTGTGTTAGGCCTGATCACGCATTAGTTTTGATGCAGCTCACTCTCCGACTCACTGGTCACAGAAAAACCTACCAAACTCGGTGGGTAGACCATCGCTAATCTGACCCGGCCGTTCGCACCTGTTTTGAATGAGAATTAGGGTGAAAGCTAAACGTGCTACAGCGTGGTAATTTTGATGAAAATGGGATCAGGTAACCTAATCTGCGTGACCACCAACGGTAGTGCACAAAAGAGACTTAATCAGCGTACGTAGAACTAAAATACCTGTGGCAACGACGTGATGTTTCACTGAAGTTGAAAAGTCGCGTATACTGCGCCACTGTACTACCAGTTCTGCTTTATGGTTGTGAAACCTTGAATTTGTGGATAGAATATCTCTTTCGTTTAGCAGTTTTTGACAGTCTATGCTTAAGCAGTCGGACCCAGGTCAAAGTCAAAGTTTTATTATGGGAATAGCTTACAAGCTGGTGCTTCTCTTGTCCCATAGGATGTTTACATAGATGAATCGTTACACATCGAAAAAAGGAGTCGCATAGAGATCCGGGTAGGAGATAGAGAATGTAGGCTACAGTGAATCCCTGTTTACCTTTAGTGTACGAATGGGAAGTGTGCCAAGGTTTTGTCGAATATGCTTGGGAGATTCAATAGTGGGTGCACAAACGACATGAGATGGAAGGGCGTTCCAAGATTTGCATACTCTGACTGCAAAAGACTGGCGCCGGCAATCCAGTCGAGACTTTGGAATCAGTAGTTTGAAACGGTGTCCCCTTAGGTGT